TTCAGAAGGAATTTGAAGGAAATCTTTCTGAATTTGAATGTGAAACAAGTGACGAAGATGATGATGAGATCTTCATACCAACTGAAAGCACAAGTGATTCTTCAGATCCAGACTCTGATGAATCAGAAAAAAGCCCCCCGATATTAGGAAAAAGACGGGCCATTACACCACATCCAAGCCAGGCAAAAAGAAAAAAGGGAGCACTGCACATGCCTGAAATTGCAAGTGATGACAAGAACCATCGCTGCAGAATGCCTAGGTGCAACAGCGTTAGGGCCAGAGTGTTCTGCACTGTTTGTAAAGTGCATTTATGTTTAGTCACAAGAAGAAATTGCTTCAAAGCATACCACGCAATGTAATTTCGTGGTATCTTTTTAATGGTTTGAAGTAACTTTGTAATTTTAAAATAATAATTTTGTAATTTTAAAATGTTATTTTGTAATTTTGAAATATTAAAACATTAAAAAAAGTTTTTTAATGTAAAAATGTTTTAAATTATTGTATTGTATTAACAGCATTTAAAAAATATACTGCCAGGTCATAAGTAATTCAATGTATACCTAGAGATCCAGTGTGTCGTATATGACACGTCCAATTTTGAAAAAACAAACTGCAATACTTTCTCAAACAGTTGATTTTCACACAGCAGAACATCAATAAGTTATAGTGTAAAAAGAATTTCAAACAATAAAAACTTTTTTCTCATAGTGAACCTGAAGAGGCTATACCGCGGATGCCCCCAGGGCTCCATCCTTGGACCGGATATGTGGAACTTAGTGTTTGATAGCAACTTAAGACTGTTACAAGAGAAAAATTTCACAACTATCGCCTATGCGGACGACGAGGCGGTAGTGTTGGAAGGAAACAGTAGAAGGGAGATAGAGGCTAAAGGTGAATTACTAATGACGAGTCTGGAGAAGTAAGCTACAGCCCACAAACTGAGGTTCTCAACAGAAAAAACAGTAATTGTGTTGATGAAAGGGACCTTATGTGAGGAAAGACCGCCAATTATTAAATTATACGGTACAAATATAAAGATGCAAAACACGGTTAAGTACCTTGGCTTGACCATCGGTAAAAACTTTAGTGTTATAGATCATGTTAAGAACGTAACGAGCAAGGCCACGAACTATTTCAATTGCCTCGGACGAATCGCTAAGGCAGAATGGGGCCTAAACAATCATGCAATGCATACCATATATAGAGGGCTCTTCGTGCCAATAATAGTATATGCTGCAGCGGCGTGGGCGGATAAGATTACTGCAGTAAGCAAAAGGAAACTTGTAAGCGCCCAAAGGACAGCCTTACTACGAACACTTAAAGGCTATAAGACATGTTCCGCAGCAGCACTAGAAGTTATTGCTAACGCTCTACCTATAGAGCTGGAAATACAAAAAGCAAGTGCCCGATACAAGATAAGAAAAAGAGAAAGATTCACAATCAGAGGAAGAGAGTTCGGTGAAACATCAACAGAGGAAGAAAGAAGAAACAGAGGAAGAAAGAAGAAACAGAAGAAGAGAAGTAGAGGATTTCTTATACGAGATTTGGCAAGATGAGTGGAACGCAATACAGAAAGGACGTCATACTTATAAATACATCAGTAACATAGGAAACCGAAGACAAATGAAGTGGTTGAAAAGTGACTTCTACGTAACACAGTTCCTGACAGGACACGGGGACTTTAAGCAAAAGCTAAATAGCTTCGCCTTGAGCACCACTCCAGAGTGCGAGTTCGGTCATACAGACAGTGCAGACCACGTGCTATTCAACTGTGTCATCTATGACCAAGAGAGAAGAGAATCAGACCTACTGATGGAGTTATCATTACGAACCGAAGTGACAGAAGAAGACAGAAGAAGGGTAATAGCAAAACAGAACTTCCAGCAAATAAGAAGAGTAATGAGAAACATTTTGAGAAAAAGAAGCATAATAAGAAAAGAAATAGAATAAGAAGACCTAACGTACACCCAAGTAAATCAGAAAAGAATTAGGAGAACAAAAAATTGTAGATAGGGTAGCAGAAAGAAAAGAGGACAAGACCGCTGGTATACCTTGGGCAGAATACAGCGGGGGCGGCCGGAGGGTGTTCTCCTGGGTGTCCCTATCTACAGTGTGGGGCAACGTGCTGGGGGTCCTTCATATCAGGAAGTTAGTACAATTTCAAAGAACAGTTCTTTTTATTATGACTAGAGCATATAGGACGACATCCACTTCTGCCCTCCAGGTGTTAGCAGGCGAAATGCCATTAGATTTAGAAGTGAAGTATGAATATTACACTTATTTGGTTAAGAATGGTGTAAGTTTTACTTTAGGCACATATACATTTACCCCAGGTGATCAGGTGATGAGTAGAGAAAGTATATTAGGTAAGGTAAAGAAGGAGTTACTTAAAATATGGAATAATAGGTGGATTAATGATACACATGGTAGACAGACATTTTTATTTTTCCCAACAATTTGGGATAGATTGAGGGCACACTGGGTGGTACCTGATTATTATATTTCGCAAATACTTACTGGGCATGGAGATTTTAATGAGAAACTTTTTTCTTTTGGTCTGGTTCCATCACCTTTGTGTGAATGTGGTGAAGTAGATTCTCTTGAACACTTTGTATATTATTATCCTTTGTATATGAATTACAGAATACAGTATGAATTTGGGAACTTATTTGAATATAGTAAGATAGTTCAAATAAATAAAAATTTTAAAAAGATTTATATAATTTTAAAAGAAATGTTGATATATAGAATGAGTTTGCGAAAGGTATAACAGGGGTCTTAAAGAATTTATTTTAGACATTAATTTTGACATAATATGTCAAAATTACAATGATACATAATGTTATATATAAATTTATAGTATTTTAAAATTTTAGGATTTATTTTAAATTTATGTCCAGTTAATACTTTGATGTATTGTGTTATTAGATTATATTAAAGGTTGTTATGTATATATATAGATTTTAAGAACCGGTATGTCAAAAGAAGGAACGGTTATTATAGGACAGTGGGGGGACTATTGTCCCTATCTACACCCCTCTCCAAATGGGGGTTTGGTGCTTATTTGCGCCGCCCCAACTCGTACGTACCAGCCTTGTCGTGGCGGAGAGGCTCAGTACCCAGGCGCATTTTGCCTTTTTCAGCAAAGCTGTGTTGGCGTATGTCCTGGGGAAGCTAATGGTGCGACGGGGGGCTCAGGTATTGGCCGGGCCTGGACGTTGCGGCATGTGCTTTGATCGCGACCTCGAAGCAAGAAAACTGAAGGCAGTCCCCGAGGGTACAGCTTAAAAACTAAGGAAGCACACCTGGGGCGGTGTCAAGTTAGGGGCCCGGGGGGCATAGCCGTGTCTTTCTGGCCGCCCTGGTCAGGCACTGTAAAATCTTGCCCCCTGTCAGAGTGCAGGGTGGCGCCCTGACTGGGTCCCTCTGGCAGGGGGTGGAGTCCTCTGCCGAGGCCACGGGGCCTGCCTTTGGTCCTCTCTTAGGTCTCTTGGCGTGGTCGGGCCCATGCCGTTGCGGAAGGGATCGGTTCTTTACCTGGGTCTGGGGGTTTTTTGGGGTCCTTTAAATAAATATGAATAGCTCAGATACTAATAAATGTTTACAAGTGCAGGGGGAAAAGGGGAGTTGCCCAGCTCCCATTTTGTTTCGCCGGAGTATTACTAGTGATAGATCGATGCAGCAAGATAGTGAGTATGATGGTTATGGTTATATTCAGGATATGGAGAAGTTAGCATTAGATTTTTGAAAGATAGTTCTCCATAAGGACTGTAGATTGAGTCGCCAGGCTTCACAACAATTAATAGATATGTTTGGGCAAGCTGTGAATGTTGTGCGAACAGTTGTGTTGCAGAATGAAAGATTATTAGGTAGACTCATTGAGATAGAGAAAGTAGAAAAATTTAGTGCTCCTATTGTATCAACACCTATGTTGTATGCAGATAAAGTTAAAGTAAAGGAGGATAAAGTTGATAATGATAGTACAGATAAGGTAATATTAGTTAAGGGTATGAATGATGAGGATAGTGAGGAGGTCAAGCGTAAATTTCTTATTAGTGTTAATCCTGTTAAGGATGGTATACGGTTTCAAGGAGTACGGAAAATACGTAGTGGAGGAATAGCTGTTGTTGTCGCGTCTAATGTTGATAAGGAAAGATTGCTTAATCATGCTTTAGTTAAAAAGGCAGCGTTAGAAGTAACATCGCCGGTAAAGAAAAAACCTAGAATGATTATGTTTGATGCGCCTAGAAAGTTAGATGAGGATGCATTGGTTCGGCAGTTGTATGTTTTAAACAATGATTTGATATATGGAGATCTAGGTATTACTTTGGACGAGTTTAAAGAAAGTTTTAAGTTGTTATATAAAACTGGGAGGAAGAGGGATTTATTGGTTAATTGGGTTATGGAGGTGTCACCTGAGTTGAGAATTAGATTGTTGCGGTTAAATAGATTATATGTGGAATATAGAAGTTGTAGAGTTAAAGATTACTTGGAAGTTTCAAGATGTTTTAAATGTCAGGCTTTTGGACATGTAGCTAAGACTTGTCGTCAGGATAATGTGACGTGCTATAAGTGCGGTGAAGTGGGACATAGGTCTGCGGACTGTAAACTTGAAAAGCCCAAGTTATTATGTATACCATGTCGTAATTTTGGGAAACGATCTGATCATATATCTAGAGAAAACGGTTGCTATGCATATCAAATATCTGTTGGTAGATATAGACGTAACATAGATTATGGGTAGTAGTGGTAATCAGTTGTTACTGAGGATTGGGCAAATTAATATGCAAAGGAGTAAGATTGTTCCTATGGAGTTAGCGGCCTATCTAGATCTGAGTAAGCCAGATGTACTTTTAGTACAAGAGCCTTATGTATTTAAGAGAAGGATAAGAGGTTTTGGGGAACGGACTGTAGTTGTCCAGAGTTCAGAAGTAAACCCGTGGGCAGCTGTAATTAATAGTGGGAATCAGTGGAGATTAATGGAACTTATTCAGTTCTCCTCGGGAACCTGTGCGTTAGCGCAGATGTCTAGTGAGGGGGTGAATGTGTATGTAGTTATTTTATACTTCCCACCTAATGATGATATTGAGATTTCTTTAATTGAGTTGGAAGATGTTCTTAAGAGTTTGGATGGTAGGCTGGTAGTTATCGGGGTAGATGCGAATTCCAAATCCCCTGTTTGGGGTAGTGATAGGCTTGATGATCGCGGTGTTGCTTTGATGTCGGTATTTGGAAGATGGGGATATGAGGTTCTAAATCAACAAAGTGATATACCTACATTTTTGTCCTCTCGTGGATCATCTTTTGTGGACGTGGTTGCGTATTCTCCGGCACTGAGTGGGTATATTGGAAATTGTTTAGTGTCGCATGCTTTTACATCCTCAGACCATGCTTTAATAACTTATGATATCAGTTTTAGATTACAGGTTAAGAATAAAGTATTTGAGGTATATTTAGATAAAAATGTTGTTGATTGGCATAGTTATTGTGGTTTAGTTCAGTACTATATGGATAGGTATAGGATTCCTGTTGTACGGACAATCTCGGATATTATAAAATTATGTAATGCTATACACTTATCTGTTATATTAGCAAGTAGAATTGTGTCAAGGGGTAGGAGGGTCTCCCACTGTAAAGCTCGGTGGTGGAGTATTGAACTTGAGCGGATGCGGAAGCAGGTATTTTATTTAAGAAGGAGCTATCAACGAGAAAGGGAGTTATCTCTTCGACAGATTAAGTTAGATGAATATCGTTTGTTATATAATAAGTATAAGAAATGTATAGTTACTGCTAAACAAATAAGTTGGAGATGTTATGTGGAGTCAGTCTCTAATAGGGATGTGTGGGGTGCTCCTTACCGGATTGTTCGAGATAAGTTGCGATTACAGAGTCTTTGCTCTATTAAGGGAATTGAACATGCTATTGATTGGCAAACATCGGTAAAGTATTTATTTCAGATATTGTTTCCTGATGACAATGAGAATGAGGATTCAGATAGTCAGCGAGATATTCGAGTTCAGAATGATAGTTATTTGGTAGATGATTTGTCCGAGCCGTTTACTATCGAGGAATTGAACAGGATTATGCAAGGACTTAAGGGGAGGAAAGCACCTGGTCTCGATGGAGTGACATATCTTATGGTTCGTCGAGCATTCCCTGTTATAAAGGATGACTTATTGCGGTTATTTAATTACTGTTTGTTGTATGGGATTTTTCCTAATAGATGGAAAGTTGCGAGAGTAGTGATCTTACTTAAAGGAAGGGATAGAGACAGAAGTAATCCCAAGTCGTATCGCCCAATATGTCTGTTATCAGTGGTCGGTAAAATTTTCGAACGGTTATTGAAGGTTAGATTACAACGGTTATTTAGTAATTATATAGATGAAAGTCAATATGGGTTTTGTCAAGGATGTTCGACTACTGATGCCCTGAGTAAGTTGTGGAAGTGGACACGTGAAAGTTCTAGTAAATATGTAATGGGGTTGTTTTTAGATATATCTGGGGCATTCGACAATATATGGTGGCCTGCTGTGCTCCAAGCACTCCGTGAACAGTGTTGTCCAATGGATCTTTATCGGGTATTAGTGGATTATTTTAGACATAGAACGGTTGTTTTCCGGCATGATTTGGATATTAGTAAAATTGTTACCAAGGGTTGTCCCCAAGGTTCAGTACTAGGTCCAGAGTTTTGGAACCTGGTTTTTAATAAGGTATTGATTGGTCTGTGTCTTTTCGGGTTACATTTTATAGCCTATGCAGACGATTTAGTAATTTTAGTTGAGGGAGATAGTAGGGTTCGGCTTGAGTCCTTGTCTAGGGATGCAGTTCGGTTTGTCGAGGATCAGTTGTATGGTTTGAAATTGCAGCTGGCACCTTTAAAGTCGGTGGCTATGTTGCTGAGGGGTGTCCTCAGCCCGGATCGCCCCCCCCAGCGTGCGTACGAGCACAGTGGCTATTCGTATGGTAAAGTCTGTATTGTACTTAGGAATGAAGATTGGTACAGGGCTAAGTATTGTGGACCATGTTGAGGAGGTAGCCAACAAGGCTGTGGCTCAGTTTACGAGGCTACAGGGTCTTTTGGGCTCAGGGTGGGGGCTGCGGTTTACTGCCCTGAGGTCCCTGTATAGGCACCTGTTTGTCTCTGTGGTTATCTATGCCGCTAGTGTATGGGGCGATGCGCTGGGGCCCCCTCTTAGGAAAAAGTTATTGAAAGCTCAACGTGTTGCTTTACTGATGATGACCCGAGCTTACCGAACCATATCCACAGACGCTTTACAAATATTAGCTGGTGAAATGCCGCTCGATTTGGAAGTCCGTTTGGCTTATTTTCGGTATTTATTGCGAATACGAACTACTTTTAGGGTAGGGACTATGTGTTATCCGAGGGATTTTGTTAATATGAGTGACTCCACGATACGCAGATTAATTAAGAAAGAGTTGATAAAGTAATGGGATAACCGTTGGAGGGAATCGGGTAAGGGAAGGCAAACTGCGGTTTTCTTTCCATCTGTTTGCAATAGGTTTGGAGCATGGTGGACTTTACCTGATTTTTATTCTAGTCAATGGTTTACTGGTCATGGTGACTTCAGAGAAAAATTGTTCTTTTTTAACTTAGTTAAATCAGATCTTTGTGAATGTAAGGAAATAGATACGTTAGTACATTTTATCTTTCAGTGTCCGCTTTTGTCAACTATACGTATGGGGTGCTTGTATTTACAAAGTACTGCTATTAGTGAGGTAGGGTTGCGTCGATTTGTTTCTGATAAGGTTATATATAAGGTTATTTGTCCGGTTTTAAAATTAATGTTTTTAGAACGTATGCGAATACGTAGGATTAGCTAAAGGATTGGTTTTATGAATCTTACTTTATGTCCTGTTTTCTTTTAGTCGATTATACTTTTATCTATATTTAGTTTTTTTGAGGTTTTATTTAAGGTTTTCTTTAGGTTCTTTACACCACTGAGAAGTCTTCGGACATTTGCAGTGGGGCAATGTTGGGACTTTAAGGGACGCTTGTCCCTATCTACACCATTATCTGTCCGTTATCTGGGAATGCAGCTGGGTGCGGGTTTTGACCTGACGCCACATGTGAATTATGTTAAAGATAAGGCTATAAATCAGTTTTGTATGTTACAGAGTTTGGCAGGCCGGGGGTGGGGGCTGCGGCTTCCCGCACTCCGAGTCCTATATAAATGTCTGTATGTTCCTGTTATTGTATATGCAGCTAATGTGTGGGGCGACGGAATTCAATCCCTTCACCGTGGGAAGCTACAGTCTTCTCAACGTAGAGTTTTGCTTATGGTCACTAGGGCCTATCGTACAATTTCTACTCCAGCATTACAGATAATCTCTGGTGAATTGCCTATAGATTTAAAAATTAAATTGGAATATTATAAATATCTTATTAGAGCGGGTGTTTCATTTGAAATTGATGATTTTACTTTTAGGGCGGGGGAATCGACATGCGCCTCTAGTATAGTAATTAAGCAAATTGAGAAAATAATGTATAAAAGGTGGAATGATAGATGGTGTAGCGAACAACGTGGTCGGATAACCTATGGGTATTTTCGGACTGTCAATGAAAGGTTGGGAGCAGGCTGAGTTATTCCAAATTTTTATTTGTGTCAGATATTATCAGGACATGGTGATTTTCGGGAAAGGCTGTGTGCTTTGTCTCTTGTCGATTGTCCAAACTGCGAATGTGGTAAAATAGATTCTTTATGTCATTTTTTATATGAGTGCCCTATATATTTTAATTTAAGAGATATACAAGATTTTAATATTGATTATATTTTAGAAAATCCTTGCGTTATAGTTAAAAATGAAGAGACATATAATAGGTTTATAAATGTTTTTGAGAAGATGTTAAGGTATAGACAAAAGCTTAGAAAAATACGGATGGGTTAGCTCCTCACTTTATCTTTTATTTTATTTTATATTTTACTTTTTATTATTAGGGTTAATTGTTTTAATTTGGATATGTAGGAGATAGGTATTATATTTTATGAATAGTCCTGTATTGTTGGTTTTACATTAGTTGTATTTAATAGTGATATAGTATTATAGGTTAGTTAGGAGTTAGAATGCCAGTATGTCAAATGACAGGTACAACTAACTTGGACAATGGGGTACGGCTGTCCCTATCTACAAAACCCCAAAGGGTGGGGTCTCATCCCCCACAAGTCGTACGTACTTGCCTAGTTGTGGCGGAGTGGCTGAGTAGCCCAGGACATCCCTGGGTGAAACTAAATAGTGCGGCGGCGACTCCGGGTTCCGGACGTCAATGAACCCGCATCGGACGTTGGATAAAAGGGAAAGGCTGAGTTGAAGGCTCTCCCCCAGAGGGTACAGTTTAAAAACCGGGTTGCACACTCCCGGGCCGCCTGATAGTACATTGGCCCGGCCCCTTCTAGCCAAATGGGGCTGGCTGCCTTATCAGCAGGCGCATAATCTCGTCGTGTGTCGTAGTGCCAGCTGGCGACTGTAGAGGGCCCTGCGGCACGCGGCGGGGGGCTCTACCGAGGCCACTGGGAATTGAGCTGGAGACCACAACAGCCTCGAACAGCCATAAAACGAAAAATGCGATGTAAATGCCTGAAGTAACCCTGAGTGCTCTTTTATTAACAATATGAAAAATGTCAATTAATGAAGCCTCGACTAAAAAAGTGTTGTACAGTAGTGACCCCTCACCTCTGAAGAGGAAGACAGTCTGCTTATGGACATGTTAGAGTCTTCTTCGCAACGAAAGAGAAGTAGCAGTGGG